ATATATACTAAAAATAGAGTTCACCAATAGCGACATAAAATCACAAATGCTTTAGAATCATTAGCGTAAAGTACTATGAGTATCGATAAAAACAATTAAGCAATCATGTGATATCAATCGATGGGCGTCGTTCATAACCGCACACTTTTATATCTTATCTTATTATATCTTTTAAATCCTACATATTTTCGCCAAGTAAACCATTCAATAACGCACAAATTTATATATATATATATAAATTACGTATACATTTATTTAAAATAACATGAGTGCACCTCGAGACTGAGCGGGATCACTTGCTTGCTCGGACAGTTAAAAACGAAAATATCCCCCAAGTAGGTCTCAGAATAAAAAAAAGATTTTGTGTGGGACTCATACGAACCGGCAACGTAAACTGTATATGCAAAGTGTGCAAAGAGAAGGAACTGTTAACCAAATGTGTGCGGTTTTGAACTACCGACCTTTCAAACTTCCCTTTTTAACAATAGAATAAATATATGCGGTATTGAACGATGTAAAATGTGCAGTAATGAACGGTAAGTGTGCGGGTTTGATAATCACCGTAATCGATATAGGGTAAAATCTTTAGATGAGAAAAAACTACAGTTGGAGTAGATGTGTTGTGTAATAAAAAGTTTCGATCTCTCGATGCTATGCTAAGTGTGACCCAATATTAATATTTTGTGAATATGTAAATTGTGGCCCGAGTATTTTTTTGAAACACAAACATTTTATCTCAGGATTTCCAGATAAACAATAATCTACCTATTTGATGTGTTATGATTAGAGCTCGGATTTATATGCATTTGCATGTTTGTACCAGTGGCGTAGCCAAGGGGGGCTAAGGGGGCTATAGCCTCCCCCATGGGCCGTGTTTATATGTACAATGTATCTTGACTATTTAATAGAATCAATGCTTGTTTTAATCAAAGGCTTATTGATGTTATGCCACTTGAAGGACTTATTCAGACCAATTTAAATATGTATGACGATAAAAATATTATAAAAGCTGCTAAAATATATGTCCAATGATGATAATACCTCATCTACAATCAGAGCTGACCTATTCATATGGAGGCAACAATGGAGTCAAAATACTATTCCAAAACCGAATTCTGTTCTTGATTCACTCTCTCATCGCACTAATCTTCAACCTAACATTAAAATACTTTTACAATTATTCGCCACGTTACCAGTTACCTCTTTCACTCCGGAAAGAACGTTTTCAGCATTTAATCGCTTAAAATTTTTTTTAAGAAGCACCATGTCGGAAAACAGACTGAATGGGTTAGCTATGGCTAATATAAATAAAAAAGAGCAATTTGATGAAAATGAAATAATAACTGAATTTGCCAGAAATTCGCCTAAGAGAATGCAGCTGTTAGAGTGGAGCAAGTGACTGAACACTGAAACCAAAATTATTATTATTATTATAAATTATATATTAATAAATATTTTTAAAACTATACTAAAATGCTTGAATTACGTTTAGAAACTTGGTAGTAGATGGTGGGGGGGGGTTAAGGGTGAATTCTCATATCCTCTCTTACCTTACTTATCCAAAAAAAGTGGTTAGCCCCCCCATTTAAAAATCCTGGCTACGCTACTGGTTTGTACTAAGTGTAGCACGTCTATGGAGGTTTGAAATGTCCACGATTCATATCACACCGAATTTAAACACCCAATTTTATATTTCATATTTTGCATATTTCGAAGGTTATTGCATGTTGATTCAAAAATGCATATAACATACATATTTAATAGGTTTTTAATAAATTAACTATTTTAATTTATACTAAATTTTGTAATCTCATCGAATAGAGCACGAATTGACATGATAGGTATTAAGTTTCAAAAATATTATTTTAAAAGATTTGTATTTTTTTTAAGTCTTCTATTAATTTTTTGACAGTATGTAACTTCAAATGGTCTAAAATATTTATTTTTAGTTTTTTTTTTTATTTGTATTCTCGTTTTTTAATTTCCTAAATGTTTTAGATTGATTTAAATGATTTGAAATATAAATCAGTGGATATTATCATTTTTTTTTTTGTTTTTGATAAAATAATTAGAATTTTATTTGGTATAAAAGTGTGGTTTTCAAAAAAAAAAAAAATCACATTTTATAAAGTGTAACATAATGCATATAATTGCATATTTAGCCACTTTTTCTTTGCATATTTACATCATATTTGACACTTTTTAAATGCATATAAATCCGAGCTCTAGTTATGATGAACGTAGTTAACGAAATAGTTTTAAATTCAAAATGCCTAACCAATCTATTATTACAATTATTGAACAATTGTAAATTACTCGTTTATAATTACGTTTATTGTAATTTTATTTTATTTATATATTTTATCTTCAATAGTGAATACCAGTACTGGCCACGACGGTGTAACGATACATGTTCTCTTTAGAAATTACTTCATAATTATTTTTATAGGTATTCCTTTATATTTGGTATTTAAGTATTACATTACTCGTATATAATGTATAATTGCATATTATTTATATAAACATTTTTACTTATACAATCACAGAGGCATTTAATATTATAATTCGGGTTTTCAGACACCTGCAATATGATAAAAAATAACGGAGTTTCAATTTATAATAAAAATTAATTTTGAACGCGATTCACGAAACCTCACCAATTCATAGCGTTGTATGAAAAATCTCAACAATTTTGGAATACAAAAACTGTTTTACTGTATTGTAAAAATCTTGTACGTATAAAAATAATGCCACATGACGTTACAACTAAGGATGGTGTTATACTTTTTTTAACGGAATGATTCATTAAAACTTAAGACATTTTTCATCTATGTAATTACATTATGAATAGGTACCTTATGTTTAATTGATCACTATGTACAGGCAAAAGTGAGAATTCAGTAATTAAAATATGTTCTAGTTAATTTTAAGTTTATTTCAAGTTCTATTGCTATATTAATTGTTTTGTAATTATGAAATTTATCAGAAAAGTATAATTTTTGGGTGAAAAACTATTATTTTAAATAACCACAATTCTTATAAATTGTGAAGTAAATCACCAAATATTTATTTTAAATCAATCAAAACTGCATTTACTATGTATAATTCGTATTTTCTAAATAACTTTTATGATACTTGTAGGTATATATTCAATGACGTATTTTTTTTTTTTTGGGATGATGTCTTCCATACCTAGACATCCCCTACTTTAAAAAAAAAAAAAAAAAAAAAGCCTTATATTATATTGATTTTAACGTTTATTTTATAATACTTTAATTTAATCATAAAGTAAATGCTACAACAAAGTAAATAAAAAAATATAACTAAGCCAATATTATGACAATAAAATAAATTAATAAGTATATTTACGTAATGATTAATATCAAACCACGTTAGCTCAAACTGAGAGCTCTGTCCCTTCCTATTCATAATATGGTGATAATATGCTATTTTATGTATTATAATCACATATTTCTTTTATTCGTTTAAAACTCAACCTATTGCAATTTTTTTTCTCTGAGTTACTTATAAATAACTCTACAAAATTGTTATTTAAGAATCAACTACAGTATCAACTGCATCTAGTTAGAGGTTGTTTTCAAATTTGAAAAGAATAAAAACATACTTGCGAAACATAATTTCACAAGTAAATCAGCATTGGTTAATTTATCTTTTTTTTTATATAGGGATGGTTAAATGGTTTAGCTATGCTAGAGCTTAGCTATCTATAGAGAAGTTTGAATTGATGTAAATGAAGTAATTGACGAACTTAGTTTAAAGAAGAGGCTATTAGATCTTTTATTATAAATAAAAATAATAATAATACTATAATTTATTGTAATACCAATTACAATATATTTTAATATCTTTGTATGTGTATAATAGTATAAGAGATCATTTTTAGAATAAATCTTAGTGATCATTATTAAGTAATAACCTCCAACATGTCTATTATACCATGCATCTAAGTCTTAAATTATAAATTACTTATTTATTCCTAGTAATTTAAAAAAAGTTAGTTCGATGTTTCTTTATATCAGTAAACAATTCTAAAATTTTCGTTTGTGAAGTTCATTAAATGTTAGACACCCCCCGAAAAATTATCCAAAATACGCCACTGTATATATTTAAGCAGGAACAATTGCAATATAACTATAAATTATAAAGTATAAGTATAAATAAGTTATTATTTGGAATATATTTGTGATAATATTATTAAAAATATGAAAGTTCTCCCTGGTTTATGATATAGAAATTTGGTCATTATAATATTTGTAATATTTATCGATTGGTGCGTTGGTTCGCGCTCACGGGAGCTTACATTCAAATTATATGCGTACGACGTACCTTTAAGATGAAATACGGATTATGACTCAATTTAAAAGTGGACTCTTGTGATACACATCATCATAAAACTCATAATTATTTAAAATGTATAAGTATTATTATATTCATAATGATATATTATTTGAACTTTTTATATGAATTCAAACATTTGTTAATCGAACATACCATAAAACCCTTATAAAAAAAATAGTTTTTTCTGAGAATCGAAATAAATTAATAAATGTATAGGTATGTATGAATAGGATAAAAATAAAAAAATTTGTTTGACGGTAAACATTTAAAATTTATTGCACCTAAAATTTGAGTGGATGCGATATATTTTACTGCTTCAAATCCTTTCAGATTTATATTTGTTCAATGTAAATAAAATAAAGTAGAATCTCGATGAATTGGAACTCTCAACAACTCGAATTGAAATTAATTCTTGTGAAATATTTTATATATTCCACATTTATGGATGTATCAAGATTTTATAGTATTAAAATAAAATACTTTTATAAACTTCAAATATTTAAAAATTAGATGTATAGAGTTTTACAAGGTATTGTTAAAATAAGGACAAGACATTTTTGTAATTGTAATCATAAAATGATTTTTTCATATTTTTTTATTTTATTTTTTTTTATACTTTAACCTTGTGGATGTAAATTTAGGACGAAAACGATGATATTGAGGAAGTGCCTGGAAATAATAACTACCATGTAGCTAAATGGCTAGAAGTACCTGGTGACAAAAAGTGGATTCCAAGAGGGAATAGTGCTATAACTGTCAGTAGCAACGATACAAGTTACTTGGAAGCTAGAGGATCATCGTTGATTGTTGGACACCCACCATCTCCATTAAACCACCCACCACCCGCAGGAGACCCACCTTGGGAGTTCTACTATCCTATTGATATACAAGTTAGTATATAAATTTATTTCCAAAACAAGTAAAGTTATGACGTATTCTTTATACCAAATTAAGGGGTTTTTTTTATATAAATTTGTAGCTGTATCAAATTCTATAAATTCCATACTTATTATACCATGTGGTATTTGGAATTTCAGATTCTGTGAGATAACACGCAAACAAGTATTTATTCATAGCTAAAAGTAACTTAACTCTTGAATAATCACTTTTTGTTGTGAAAACATTTTCCCAATATATTGTGAAAACAAAACACTAAAAATATTTTCCATATTATACAATACAAATTAGTACCGACTACCGATGTGATGCATCATAACTTGTGTAAAGTTTAATAGCGCAACAACTATACAATATTATGATATGATATTTAACTTGATTTCATCATGCACTATAAAAATTATAATAATTAGGTAATTTATTTTGAATGGTTATCTTTCATTCTTTTATTTTTCTATGATGTAATTATGATTAAAATGTAAATCATAATCAATTAAATGCCACTATATTTAAGATTAAAATGTAAATCATAATCATTGAAATAAATAAATCATAATCAATTAAATGCCACTATATTTATTATAAATTATTATATTGGCATATTGCCGTAAAGTCCATGGACCACAGTCAACTAATATTATGATATAGAAATACAAGTTGCAACATGTAGGCGCGTTACACGTTATTTATGTTTTACCGGTTAGTTCAATTAAATAATTAAAACGTATATTAAGTATTTGAATCTTTTTTTTTTTTTTATTCATTTAATTTATATTATTTTATTTATAAAATTCCCCTAAGAAAGTTATCTAAACTTATTGTTAAACGAATTTGATATTTTTAGCGTTCGAAAAAATAGATAACAAAAATAAGTATAATATTATATATATATATAATGATAAAGTTATAGCGTTTAACAAAATATGAAGTATAGTTATAAAACTAGCGAAAATATAGTATGTTTATGTTTTCATACTTACAAATAAATACGTGATTAAATTACTACAGAAGGTCGTGTTCCATGCTTGAGTTGGCGTATAGTAGGTGGATTTAAATCCTAATTTTATACGATTATCAATATTTGTAATTATATTATTATGAATAAAAAATTAAAGTTTAAAAAGAAAAATACTTACTTTGTGGAAAATAAAAAAATATTACGAGGCGAGATAAAAATCCAACAATTTGCTTGTCATCAACAGAAACCAATAAGATAATGTCAAATTTAGGTTTGTAGTGAATATTTTAATGACAATGTTTTAGAGTTAAGATAATTAATTCAATGTAAAGCAAAGTTGGGGATATTTAATATTGTGTATTAATACACACAAAGTGATGTTAATACATTTTTAAATGAACTAATACTTAAAGAAAATTAACTTACCTGAACAATAGCTACTTGGATTTGAATTAATCATTTTATTCAATAAATTAAAAATATGGAACAATAATCTTTTAAAAATATATTTTAATAGTTTTTAAATCGGATGCTTAAATGTTTAAATTTAAAATTAAATGTTACATATAATTATACTTTATTTTATGTTCTGTATTTACTAAATATGGGAGCTCGAAAAAATATTTTTAATTTTTTCTTCTTAAATGATTTAGTTAAAATAATTTTTAGTTAAATAAAGAAATAAAAAGTAACCTTCACGTTTATGATCAATGCATTTTTTATTAAACAAAAATCTAAACTACTTTGATGTATTATAATTATGTCTTATAATTAATTACTCATAATTTTAACAATTTATTGAAATAAAATAACTTACTATTCTTGACACATAAAGTCATCGTATCTACTAAACCATACCAACTATATTTTTCAACTGCAGAATACTTATGTATTTGTTTTATTTTAATAATTAATTGTTGACAATAAATCATCAAAAATAAAATATCAAACAGATAAAACCTATAGCGTTTACAATATAGCAATTAAAATACTAACAAAGTATAATGGTGTTTGCTTATAATTTAAACATGTTTACAGCTAACATCCTACAACGGATTGTATGCTTGTTCGTTTTGGGTTAACCGCCGAAAGTCGTAAAACAAACGGTTCGTATATAAAAATATGTCGTGAATTATTCAGTGGCATATTAAGTAATTTTTTTTTTAAGATGGGATAATAAATACGACAAAATAGGAAAGAAGAATTCTTGTTTGAAGTATCTAATAAAAAATATATTTTATAAAATACTATTTAGTATATACAAGTTAGGTTATGTAGTTTAATCGTATATAGGGGTATATACTCGTAGATGAATGACATAGAAAATGTATTACAATAAAGTCCGTTCAAAAAATAAAATATAAATATACACATTAAATACTCTTACACATTGTGTAAACATCGAAATGGAAGATCAATACCAGCCACTACTATTCCCCAATCCCCATCAATCTACATTGTTCAGGGAGGGACCGTTCAAGTTGAAATATACCCACATTGATAGACAATATATCATTATTTTTATAATTATTTATTTATAAATTAATTAATTTATAATAATTTAACGGGCTTAGGACTCATTAAAGATGGTACAAATACAACCGAAAAATATATATAAACGGACAAATGTGACTAGGATATGATTACATAAAAATATTAATTTAACAAAGTATATTAAAATAAAGCATATTGTTAATATTTTAAATAATTTATACATCAAGTATGATTCTTAATATTAAAATTACATTAGACTTAAATTTCAAGAATAGAATCAAAAATCTCTGTATATATGGATATTTTATTAGCTAATAATAAGGCACGTTGAAAAAAAGAGTCTGCACCTTAACTTTTTCGATAAAAAGGAATGACAAATAAATCATTTATTTTGAAGAAATATGTGGGAACCTTGATTCCTAATTAAGATAATATATGTGGAAAATCAATAAAAACCATTTAATAGATCACACATAATTAAAATACAAGAGTGCTGTCTTTTTAGTTTTATCGAATCTAAACCCATTGATAATTCAAAGCTATTATAAGTATTACTAGATATAGTTGTATTAATAACAAAAGCAATTCTTTTTAATAATTTATATTGGACTTATTCAAGATCTTTTTAATATGTAAACAAATTCTGAGACCAAATTATGGATCCAAATTCTAAAGTAGATTACTTGAGTGAACAATATAATGTTATTTAGCTAGATATTTGTTTAACATTTTGACTCCTATTAATAACAATTAATTAATAATAAAGCCTAATATTCTTTAAGATTTATTCAAAATTATTTTATGATGGGACATAAATGAAAGGTCTGAATCAAAATGTATACCTATGTCTTTAATTAATGATACTCTGCTTAATTTATTATTATTAAGCTTATAATTAAATATAATTAATTGGATTTTTGGAGCGAATAAATTAAACAATTTTTCAATTGTCAATGTTTGATTCAAGACAGTTATTTTTGCTCCTAGCATAACATTTGTTTATAATCCTGTAGTATCTCAGAGTCCAATAATAATTGAACTGAACAAAATGATTTAGCAGCATCTGCAAAAAGTAATAATTATTAAATACCTGGGGTAAATCATTAATAAAAACTAAAAAAAACAAAAGCCCTAAATGTGAACCTTGAGGAACACTTGACGATACGTAAAAAAACATTTGAAACATGGAATGAAAATTTAACTGTTTGGGAACGGTTATGTAAGTATAAAGCAATTCATAATAAAAATAAAACATTATTATTATTATTGTTATTACTATTGTTATTTTACTATTGTATATATAAATAAACTTCGAATATATACGTTACTATGTGAATTATATGCGGTTATATGCTTCTTGAACACAGGACACAAAATGACAAATTTAACTAGAAATAATTGATTGATATTGGTGGTAAAAAAAATATATTTCATCAAATAAATGTGTTTGAACTTGTGTGTGTGTAATGTTGACAAAAAATAAAAATTTTCATAATTTTATATATTACGTAGAACAGAATCTACTTTAATATCTGCGTGTATTATTGTCCAAAGTTTTCAGTGATCTGACGTTTATAATTATTGAAACTGTTTTAAAGTTATACATATATAAGGAATATAAGTAAAATATCAAACACACGCGCACATATTAAGAATCCTGAAAAACCAATAATAATTTCTAAAACGTGATTATATAATAAGCACACAACCACGTTTATTTTAAATTATTTCATAATTAAAATAATTAAATATTAATGAAATAATTATGATCTGTAACTGAAATTGTAATTATAAATAATAAATTCTAGTTTCCCGCTCCCATAACAGTCAAATTCTCGGGATTACACTATGTACGTTATTAAATTCCATACGTAATATTACAATTATATTTATACGTACATGTATCCCAAGCTTTATATATAATAATTTATATAATATAGAATCTATAACTCTAACTATATTATAGATATTATGAACATTGTGTTTATCCAGTGAGTCTTTCTAACAGAAAACTTAGTTTAAAGAATGGTAACCTAAATTCATACACTCTGAAGTATTATAATACTATATTTTCGGAAGTCACTGAGTACAATAATAAATATATTTGATTTCCTGCACACTTTTAGCGTTGAAGAGGGAAGTGAATGTGCATTAGACGAGAATGGAGAAGTTAGAGAAATTAGAGCAAAAGATATTTAAAATTTGTAAACCCATGTGTTCATGAAATGACTATGACTAGAATCTAAAAAGATTTCTTGTGATTAGTTTGTTATTACTCGTATTTAGTATATCGGTGGAAACCATTGCACTTCTCGACAAGTGCGGATTCAGCTAACGTTAACGCTAGGAACGGGTTATAAATAAGTATACATATTTATTTAATTTTATGTTTCTACTGATAAATACGAGTATTCATACTATATTTAATCATCAATTAGTTCAGGAAAAAATATATAACAATTTTTTTAATCTTTAGTAAAATTGTGAAAAATATAAAACATTTGTTTTATTTATTCCACACAGAATACAAGCTTAGGGCATAATATATAAATTATTTACTATAGTTTCTATCAAAACCTGTGTGTATATATACACACAGGTTTTGATAGAAGGATCCAGCCAAACGTGACACCATTCACACAATTTTTTTTTTTTAATTTAAGTTATTATTTTATATTATATAATTTAAACTACAATATAATTGTATATAAAACAAATTTAATTAAAAACCAATACATATAATTCCAATTAGATTATCAATTTTTCGAGTTAATTATTATCGAACTGTATTTCTTGTACTTTTAGAAAAGCATCAATGCTATTTTATTTTAAAATGTTTAATATTGCTACACCATTGAAAAGTTTTTGATACTTTATGATTATTATATTATAATAATATTATAATTATAATTATTATATTATTATAATTGATGGTAGTTTTCAAAAATGAAATGTTATCGGTGTATGGTAGTAAACATTTTGTATAAATTTAAACTCGTCACAACTATCTGAAATTTCAATTATGAAATAGAATTTTTATTGAAAAACAACATGGCTTTCGTCCAGGGCGTTCTACTCTCACGTGTAACCTTGTTTTCACATTATCCGTTTTTAATGCATTCAAAAATAATGCTCAGAGGTAATTTTTACCGACTTTAAAAAGGCATTCGATCACTAAATCACGATATATTAATTAAAATATTTATTGCGTCAGGGTGTGGTGAACCTCTTCTATCATGGTTTAAGTTGTTTCTCAGTTATAACTATGCTTGAGTCAAAGTATTTGGTGTATGTTCTGATGTTTTATTAACTTCTTTTGGTGTCCTACAGGGAGGTTATTTATCTCCAATAATATTCTATTTATTTGTCAACAATGCATCTAAGGTTCTGTATCACAGCAAGTTGCTATGCTTTGCTGATGATATGAAGATTTTTATACACATCAATCCTTTTGAAGATTGTCATGGATTACAAAGTGACCTTGATCATTTTGTTGAGTGGTCTCAATCATTAGAATTATTATTTTACCTTAAAAATATTACATTATGTCATTCACAAAAAAGCGTTCTATTATAAAATGGTCATATGAACTATATAACACAATTATCTCACACGTTCATAAAACTGTTGAATTGAGTTTTAAATTTAATAGTAGCCTATCCCCGGCCCTCATATCGATATGATATGATTTACAGTCTACAGAATGCTGGGTTGTATAAAAAAACTGACGTAGGATTTTAAACTTGGTTTATCTTTAAAAATTTTAAATTATACGTTCGTACGTTCGATTCTAGAGTACGGTGCTGTTCTTTGGGATCGACATACCTCCGTTACTCTCGATAAATTGAAATGGTCCAACGTAAATTCCTAAACTTTGCAGGTCTTATTCTCCATATTCAACATCCGCCACATGATTATAGCCCTATTTCTAACGTACTTAACATTGAGACTCTTGTGAAAAGTAGACAATTCAATGGACTTAAATTTTTAGATGGACTATTAACCGGGAAAGTTGACTCACTATTCTATCGTAGTTTAATTAACTTAAAGATCTCTTAACGTACTTCTCGACACTCCGTTTCTTTTTATGTTTTTCCATACACCTCTAATTATCTAGCCAACGAAACTATTTTACAACTATTATCAATTGCTAATGTCGATGCTTTCCAACTTACTTAATTCAGATAATTCCCATTGTATTATTTTGTAATATACTTTTACTACTTTCTCTCTTTTGTTATATAAGTATATGTTATTAATATGCTTGTTGTAAAATAATATTTCTATAAGATTGTTTATATATGTTTACTATTTTGTCAAAAGGCTATGCCCGTAAAATAAATAAATAAAAAAATAAGTTATATAGGGTAGCATCATGTCCAGATCATAAACTGACATAAAATATTCATATTGAATCTAGATTCTAAATCATATAGTAACAAAAAAGGGAATAAAAAGCTTTATTTCAGCAGATTTAGTTTGAAGAATTTCCCTGATTTACATTATTTTAGTTAGTTTTGGCTTGTTAATTCCGGGTTGCTAGAATTTTCAAGTTAGCTGGAAAATCGTAACATCAAAAAATCTTGGTACAACATGATATCGGATTTTATACCATGGAGATATCGTGACCGTATAAGTGATGTATTGTAAATTACCTTTTAACACGGTATCATGTAGTTCTTCGGTATATTTAACGGCATTTAAGTAGGTACACCGTGGTATTCGAGCGATAACACTGGTGTACATGGGTTGACACGATATAAGACGGTGTAACAAAAAAAAATCTCGTCACCCTAATTATTTTCACATTGAACTCGGCGTTTCAACCGTTAATATCGTTACAGGTGATCCAGCCCACGCCGTGTTTGTCGCCCAGCGGCGGTAGCCAGGAGAGTTTCTCGGACGTGCCCAAGCACACGGAACAGCTGTTGCCGGCCGCGTCCGATCGGTTCCGGAAGTCGTTGTCGTCGTCGTCGTCGTCGTCGCAACACCGCCGCGGCCGCCAAAGGTCGCGCTCGTCGTCCGCGGCGGCTGCTGCGGCGCCCATAGCGTCCATCCGGACGTCGTGTAGCAGCTGCAGTGACGACGCCGCGTCCACGGCTACTACGGTCAACTCGTCCGTGTTCGCCGACGACTGCTGCTGCACGAACGCGTCGCTCCTGCTGCCGTCAACACCGCATCAGCCACCGGCCAACAACGCATCGTCGTCGCCGTCGTCCGCGGCCGTCACCGGTAAAAAGGACGTCGTTGCGTTCCGGGACGGGGACGGGGACGAGGACGGGGACGACGACAGTGGGACCGACACGTTCGCGGTCAGATCGTTTCGCGATTTCAACCACAGGCCGCAACGATCGCCGTCCATCGTGGGCGGCGGCGGCAAGAACGTGATCGTCGTCCAAGCCGACGTCAACCCGATAGCCGACTCAATCGTGAACGCCAACGCATTATCAGGGTCTCTGCGCGCGCTCTACGACGCGTCCAAAGAAACGTTGTTCTAGGTTAAGTTCGTGTTCACAAACGCACTGTATACATTACAAGACATTGCATTTGTCTATTGTTGTGTACCATGCGTATGATATACATAAAAGTATATGTATGTGTGTGTATGTATGTGTGTGCGTGTGAGTGTATGCGTGTGTATATGTATGTATAATGTATAATTGTGTACACTCAATCAGGGTTACCATTAAAAACGATATACCTAGTACATGTCTTGACGACGAGACGACGTGTATGACGAAACACGATCTCTTAACATCTCTTAAGTTTATTTCACCGAAAAAAAATTGGTTGTTCGTTTTTATCCATCAGTGATCGCTGTATTCATTTCCGAAAGCAGAACGGTTACCATCAACTCCTAAAACCTCCTTAACTTTATAGTACCCCCAAGTTGTTGTACAACAACGCAGACAGCAAATGTTTCACGTGCACGCGTGATATTCACATGTCTAGGTCAAGCGTGGTATTATTACGTGGTTAAATGTTGTTCTAAATATCGATTAGATGAATTATCAACATCACTGTTCCATATTAACCAAAACGATGTAGTTCCGAACACGAATCCATTGATGAACAAATCGTGCCCGAAAACAGCGTTCATAACCCTTAAAAATTATTCATTTAACCATCTAAAATAAATAATATATTTAGATTGAGAATCACCTGCAGCGACGTTTTTGATATATAAATATCCATTATGTGTGTTAGAGCAAATACAAATTAAGTAAAATCACATGTAATGATCTATATTATTGTACAGTGATCGATGAGCATAAATACTCGTACAATAGTCGGTGAGCTCGTCGAGTATAATGGATTTTCGTCGGACAACTACTGTCAAAAATGCACATGTTGCTCACGGTACAACGTAATAACACTAACACCTGTGATAATAACAATAATATAAATAATTATTGAACTTATAATTATGGCGATGCTGAACGTATAACTGGACGCGAAGAAGAATAGCGCGTACGCTACACCATATAGTCATGAAACGATTATTATTCATCGCGTTTAAATGCGATTCACCGCACACGAAATATATAATTCTGAATGTCCTTCGATGTTGGTGGTGGTAGTGGTGAGCAGTGTTATTGTGGTTATTTTGTGTTAGTTAAATTAGTTATGTCTACGGAACGCGATGGGCGAAATGTCACTTCATCAATAATTATCTGTTGAGGAGATGAAATTAAAAAAAAAAAAAACAATTTAATATTATTATTTTTAATAAATCAACAAATTTTGAAAAATCTTGTCTTATAAATGGCCTCCAGCCCGAAATCTGGTTGTGGTGTATAATAGTTAATCGAACGGTTTCTCTTTATTCCATTTATTCCGTGATAAATTATCCCCAACATTATACAATATATAACATATACTTCATGTTTATAACTACTGTTTCTCGATGTGTACCGATTACATTTTTCATAATATTAATAATTTTATTGTTTATTGTATTGACATGGATAATTTATCAAAGGAACAGGGTTATTCGTTAAAAAAAAAAAAAAAAAATCGTTGTATATTCAAGGCACACGTTTTATTGCGACCCAATTATGTAATTTTTTTCAAAATTAATTGTCTTAAAATATACAACGATCTGTGTAAAACAAGCTTTTCATGTATCATATATTTATGCATGTATATAATATACTGCGTGGTCTTCCAAATCGAATGTGACATTGATACTTTCTCTATAAAATATATTTATTTATTTTTATTAACAAGATTTTATGACAAAATCTATAATTAATACAGTGTTTTACAATAAATGTATGTGATATAATTTGAATTATAGTGTGTGAATTATTAAAACTAGATGAACTTCATCATTAATTTTTTTTTTTGCTTGAGAAGTGTATGGTAAATTTGAACGATAACCTATATCTGCTTATTTATTATCTGTCACATAAAACTTGAAACAACCTGTGCTATAATATATATATATATATATATATACATGTATGGATTAAATTATATGTGCATTGAAAAATCGAAAACTATATTTTATTTACAAATTTGTATTTGGGGTTTTTTTTATGTCCTTTTTTACGATTGTGTGAATACATTCATGCGTTAGTAAAATCGTACCTTTTTTTTGTGTATTCAAATAGTGTGCAAAATATAGTAAGTCGAACGAAGAGAAATTTCATTTTATTTTAACGGTTGCAATTATTAAATGCAAATACCGTATAAAATAATATAAATTCGTTCCTCTAAGTATGATCGGTGGTTCGTTTGTCTTAAGGCTTAAATCAAACCTATCGTGTATTATTAAATTATGTGTTTATCGTAGAGTATAAAATAATATATAATATTCACTCCCGATAAAATTGTTTAGCGATATTTATATAGCTGTATGTTAAAAATTAAAATTTTAATAATATGATAATAATTAACGTCGACGGGAGCATGTTTGACGTAACGAATTTAGGTGTGTATAATTAGGTTTAAATAGCTTGCCAAACAAAGAATATATATAATTTATTATTATAATAACATAATCGATTCAATTTAACCGGCGAATTGTTTGTGTAATTCTAACTGGTATAAGTATAATTTAGTGACTTAACTGTATTGTTATGATTTATGTTATTTGGATACACCGAAACGTTATTATTTTTGACTCTATATGATTGTTAATTTTATCCGAAATCCACACGTTAAATCATTATAATATTGAGTACAGGGTATTTTTTGAGACGGATATTTTAAGTAGTTCGTGTCGAAAAAGAACTGGTAACTATCTCATACGACGTTATAACGTGGACATATTGATTTGAAAGATTTAAATGAACCGCGTCGTCTTAAATTATCCAAGAAAAATACTCTTAAATTTTTCTTTCTAAAATGCAAATACTTAATTTGCATAATACGATTTTATATGAAAAAAACTAATTTTATGTCTAAGGAAGCCCTATATTTATTATAACGTGTTCCAAAAGAGCGTATATTACTTACGTAATATATATTACGAAAACATAATACGTTTTTATTTGTTAAGTTTGGTTAAATAAATATTATTATTTATTAAACGTAAATCGTGCGTGTGTAAAAAGAGCCTACGTACACAGTGAGAAAAACAACCGTAGGGTACTTTTGTAGTTTTTATTATGAAAATAATACATTTTTTTATTTTTACGTCATAAATAATATATGGCGTAGTCAATAAAGTTTTTAAAACAAACACAATTATTTACATATTTATTATTAACACTGATAAGATTACTTTGGTATGTTTTAGTCGGAAAAAAATTCAAATTTGACTGTGTACAAAATATTGCTGTTGCTTTTTCACTGTGTACAAATATTGTATGAGAGAAAAATATTGTATGCTTGAGAGGTCTTAGTACTAAAATAATTTTAAAATTATATTTTATAATTTTTATGATAATATATACGATTTGTTGTGTTTCTATTGAGTGTTATAATTATGATAATATTTAGTGGTATTGAAAATATAAATATATATATGTGTGTAAATTAATATGCTTTCCCATACAAAACGATTTTAATAGAATACATAGTAAATAAGTTTTTAATCTTATATATCTGTAGAAATTATTTTTGGTTGTTTTTGTAAAAATAAATTGTTGATCCTTTGAAATTAAAACAAAAAAGTTATTTACAGTATATGTCTATTTATTTACGCAATGTAGCCTAAAACTGTTTTCATCAACATATCATACAAGGCTACATCTGAAGAAGAAGCCTATATTATTAAAATGTTCACAGAATCTATAGGTTTATTAACAGTAAAATACTTTTTCTGTACATTAATCAACTAATTATTTCTATGTAGGTATATACTAATTTTAGGATCACGCCTTATTGGGGAGGAGGATTATAATTTAATAAAACTTAAGTTAAACTATATACCTGTTATAAAAATATAAATTATATTATAATATCTAAATATTTAACACGGACGGAATATAGACATTTGAAGTTGGAAGATTTACAGCATATTATTTTTATATGTGATGACCCATTGCTTTTTTTTTATTTTTTTAATCGTCACTTTTCAAATTCATAGAATTTTATTTCTAAAACCAACAAAATAATTTTAAATATAAATCAAAAGTCTCTGAAATTATAAGTAAGACTATTCAAATATTTTGTTACCACATTTTTCAGTATTTTTATATCACCCAGTAGATGGCACGTCTTCTATGCTGTCAGTAATTCATCAAATGTTGCTCTCTTTGCATGTTAATTCAAATTTTAATTAATATGATGATGATATCAAATATGAGATTTATTAACCTCTCCCTTTCAAGTAAGGTACTGTCAAATTTCTCGTATTAAAAGCTAGTAAATTTATATTATAAAATATACGTTTAATTTCTAAGACGATAAATAAAGATATAAAATGTGTTTATTTTTTATATAGATATTTTATATAAAAAATTCAGTTAAAATAAAGACACTTAATATGATACAACGACCTTTGTTCAGTTTTGTTTTTTTATATATGATGATTCATCATTGCTTTCAGACTTACAAATATAATTCGATTACACACTATTGTAACCTACATATTATTCGATTACATATCCTGTCCAAACTTTCTTTCGATTGATCAGTTTTAATTTTTCATGACATTTTAACAAAATTCCTAAATATCGTTACTTCGAGTTTAATCGCCGTCCATCGTACATTAAAACGTTAACACAAGACAATGATAACCGTATTAACGCATTATCGGAAAGCAAAATATGAAAATGTTATTTAATATAATTCCTTAGTGAGTGTCATACATTAATATAAATTAGTTTGTTTTCGTAAACACTGATAATTTGAAAACTTTTTATGAAATAACATCGTGTGAATCTCGTTCCTGGGTTCCAATCACTTCTCAAATTATCATAGCAGTAAAATCGAAAAAAATATTATGGCTACACTACATTATCGTTTTATCATGTATTAACATCCAACAAAACATAAGATGAGTGCTAATTAAATAACTACTAAATACTGTACTTAATTACGTATCGAATGATATAAAACAAAAGTGTAATATTTGTTATTAAATCTGATATTGTATGCTTAATACCTGTATATTATTAATGAATAATTGTTAAACTGTTAAATTGGATTATTTTTTTATTTTAAACGTAATTTTGCACGTGATTGTATCGATTTATAATTATAAACAATTTTACTTTTTAACTTGCCATATGCTGATGTAAAAAAACAAATTATTATAGAAGGCCAAACAACAATCTTAAACCAATGTATAGATATACTTATATTATTACTATGCCTATGCGTGGTTGATAATCAGACGTTATATGTTGCATCAGACCTTAAATCCTTCAATTAGGCTACAAGTATATAGTAGTTTATTTTTTATATTCATATACTCCTAAATAATTCCTTTGATACATTTTGTTCAAAATAAAATATGAATCAATAACGTTCACGATATTTTTGTTAATTAAAATAATTCAAATAAATGAATAATTGTATTTATTATTTAGTTTTATTATTTAGTACTTTAAATAGTAAAATTATAAATAAATGCTAAAAATAATTTATTTATATTTATTTTCTTATATGTGTAAACAAAAAGAGTCTTGCAAAGTCGTAATTATATATTTACCCAGTTATTGTAAGTTTAAAAGCAATCTAAGTACTATCAATAAAATATAATAATTTTCAATATTTAATTTTTTATAACTTGTATTCAAATAAACGAAGAATACAATAGAATAATTACATTTTATATGCAAAAATATTTTCAATATGTTACTTCTATTTTAATAGATATGCTATATTTTTCAAGAATTAAATAATTTTTACTGAACAAAAAGGCCGTAGTTCTACTTACGTGTTTTTTTTATTAACATATCAAAGTTTACTGTAAATAATATAAAAAAAATAATACAAATTTTCTAATTAATAATGATTTTAAGAAATAAATGCAATGTTTCATAATTATTATTAGTAGACAAAATAGTTCCCAAAATACGATATAAATTACAGAAATTATTATATTATATACAGTGTATTAACAATAATTGGATACTCCTATTATTTTTGTGTAAAACAATGTAATTTGAATTCTGTTTTTTAAGATAGATTTTATACTTCAAAATACATATTTTTATGATCTCTGAATTTAAATTTGTTCATTACACTCGCGTAAGCGCAATGCATCTTTTTTTTTTCTTAAATAGAAACCCTCAATTTTGAGTACAAATTATTATTTTATGAAATTTAATAGTACAACCAACTTTATATGTTTAAAATTGATTGAATTACATCGATTTAATGAAAAATATCGAAAACTACGTGGTTTTTGTTTTTGTCCCTTATAACTCTAAAAAAAAAACGGTTCTAGACACTTGTAAATTTTTCTTTCTTATTTGTTAAAGTTTTATTTTATTTTGAACTATCAACTGTACAGATTTTATGTAGATCGAACGAACCAATTAAGTAAGAATTAAGTTAAAATTTACTGCAATGAGTTTCGATTAAAATTTTTTTTTTTTAATAATAAAAAAAATGATATGATAGGTTTATAGGTTTAATGGTAAACTAAACTCTGGTAAACTTAAAGTACTCGAACATTTAATTATAATAAATTACTAATTTTAAAAATGTATCAAATTTATTTTAATTTTTTTTAAAACATACTTTAACACGCCGAATAAATTCGTTTTTTGTTGCGGCTAAAATCTGTGATTCGGTTAGTTTAAGCTGCTCTTATTTTCTCCTCTTAATGTAAAAGGCTCATAGGAAGGCTGGCATACACTTTAGTTTTTATGTAACCCCATAAAAGAAGTTTAACGGAGATAGATCAAATGATCGTGGTGGTCACTCAATTGGTTCATAAGTTCCTCCGATCCATCGATTTGGAAAATATTCGCTAAAATTATTTTGAACTATGCGGGCGTTATGCCCCGTCTTGTTTGAAAATTATATTTTCTCTTGTGACTAATGGAATATCATCTGGCATATCCGGTAATTCATTTATTAAAAAATTATTACATCATCTGCCGTTTAGTGAACCTTCATAAAAATATGATTCCAACATTTTGCCTCCGAATAAAACTACACCAAACGTTAGTTTCCTAAACTGTTTGATTGTTAGTTCAAATGTCCAAAATGAATTTTTATCGTTCTATTAACATTGATTTTGCTTATTTATAACATTATTGTTGTTGATTTTCAATTCGTCCGTCCATAATATGGAATTTAAAAGGAATAATTTTACATCTAATTCAGTCATCAATCAAACTACAAACGAAATTCTACACTCTGCATCGCCCTCGCGTAAATGTTAAATTAAATCTGATCTATATAGATGTATTTTGTGTGTTTTTTAAAATCTTTTGTATTTTGGTATGAGAAAATTCGAGTTCTCTACCAATATAACGTGTTGAATTTTCAGGGTTTACTCTAACGTAAGCCAATATTTGTTCTTCAAATTCTTGTCATCTTTGTTGTTGGCCGTTTATTCTTTTTGAAAAAAACCCTACAGGTCCTAAAATTCCTTTGATAGATCACCTGATTTATCTCTGTTAAACTTCTTTTTATGGGATTACATAAAAACTGAAGTGTACGCCGACCCTTCAATAAACCTTCAATATTTAAAAGAGAAAATAAGAGCAGCAAGTATTAAACTAATTTAAGTATTAAACAAATTTCGGTTGCATTTTGTTAAATAATTTCAATAAAACCAATTAATTATTATTGAATTCAAAATCTTAACTTAAGTTTAACTTTTAATTTACCACTTAAAAATGCAACATCAGTATACATAAAATATAAACTTGTCACCTTTATAATATCCATATTATATTATTTATCGTCTATCTCTAAATCGATTTATATACGTTTGAAATTAATTGCACACGTGTGATGCCGCTCGTTCAAGTTAACCCGGATATGTGCATTATTAATACGTAAACATGTAATGATTAATATGTGTTATTAGACTACACAAACTCTTATCTCCTATTGGCTGGGTAAAATGGTACAGCTCGTATAAAAACCATTTCACTCATAATATATTCTATTAGTATCACATGTGCCGACTTATTATTTATCAGTTTTTAGTTTAATTATTTAAGCTGTCTGTGAAGATTTCAGTGATTTCAACAGGTTAATGCTGAAATGTAAGCTAATTTAATATATTACTATTAACATTTCTTAGTTTTAATGTAATTTTATTCGTTATACTTTAATAAAAAATAAACTAAATCGTTATTTTACTTTGAAACTATTTTAAAATAACAAAGTAGTAAAATCAACCGAATGTACGCAGAGCAACTGAAATAAATAAGTTTTATGACAAATTATTTCGCATATTTTTGCGTGCGATAACTTGTTTTACCATAAATTATTTATGTTTAACTTTTAATATGTAGCCCTTTTAATTAGCTGTTCATAATTATTAATCCAAAAGATTTTTGTTAACTAACATTTTCAACACAATAAAATTGTGTAAGCCTTTACAAAATTCGATGCTCGATTATTCTTAAAATTTATAATATTAATAGTTTTTGTTCAAAATATTTATGTACACATTCTATGGTTTCTTGTTTAAAAGCTTTGTTTGTTTATTTTTTTACGATGTATTATATTTTTAAATATTAAAAAAGTTTAAATGTTTTTTATATTATATAAAATTTGGATGAATTATTTACACACGTATTTTAATTGTTGCAAATGCTTGTGTAATCTATTTGAGTGTATTTAAAAAAAACTTGTTGCAAAATTAACTATCAGTTCTAAATTTAAAATTATTAAATATAAGTTACTGATAAAATTATCATAAATGGAATGTTTATACCAATAAAACAAATTATTTATTTGAAAAACAACCCTTAGTTTAAGTTTTTTTTTAAATTATAATAGTAATTTATGTACAAACTTATTATATTTTTATAAAAATAGTTGATTTAGATTTTTTAATCGATTTTTTGACCCAAAAAATGAGTACATTTTTCTTATTGTATAGCTATAAATAAAAACTTAATTTTCAACAATAATTATTATTGAATAACAAAATAAGAAATTAAATTAAAATTAAAAATTATTAAATATTTAACACTCGTTTATTAATATACAAATAAATAAGCAAATATTTTATGTATAGAATAAATAAATAAATAATTTATTATTCTGGAGTATTATCATATTTTTAATTCAAAACTGGTGGTACTTTATAGATATAATAATCATCCAAGCTAAGGCATTTAATTATTTATTTATTTATAGGTATAAGTTATTTGATTGTTTATTAATACATAGATAATTTTTTTTTTTGATTTAATCCGCAAGAAAGTCATTATTAACTTATTATTTATGTAATTTTTACATTATGAATTACTAACGAATAACTAATATTTTTATGATAATGGTATAAAAAAAATTTTAATAATTTAATTACTTCTGTAGTTAGATCATAGGTACTGGTGTTAGTATTTATTTAAACATCTTATATATTTAAATTAAAATCAATTTATTACTCCTGTATGTGTTTTACTAATTTTACATGTAATTAGTTGATAGTTTGCGATATGAATAAAAAAACCTCAATCCTTCCTTTAGACATGCTGACCAACATGTAATTCTCTAAAATTTTTCTTATCGTTCCATATATAATTATTCGATTTAAATTTGATGTACAGTAAAGATAATTTAATTTTAATATTCGATTTTAATATTAACTATAAAATGATAATCTTACCTACTTACGTATGTTATAAACACTTATCTATCGCATGATCATCAATTACTCGTGGTGACGTACTATTTAATTTCCTATTTCATTGAATTTCTTTATTTCAATATAGATACGATAAAAGATTTATCAATAATCGACTGTTAAACGAGTTGGTCATACCATTATTGGGTGCTTTTGTGGAGTATGGCACAGTATCAATTGTTATACTCGGGTTCCGAAGGATCAGTATTAACGGCTCGTCCGATAGATTGTTCGATTCCGGAATACTTACCCGAACCGTTATTACTGTCACATCATGATAAAACGAAGACCATTGTTCCGTCCAAAATAGATTATTCACGTTTCATCAATGAAATCTCATCAAGACGCCGACCAGCTCAGTTACGAGAAATAAGTAATTATCATAAACTATTGCAAAATAGATATAACAGTCTATATCAAATCGTGGTTGTTGTACGGTTTCAGGCAAAGTGTTGGAGAAACTACCTTCAACTTGCATTAAATTCGGTATAGGCGTGCCAAACGTATTGACTTTTCCATTCAAGAAGATCAGTGTGGAATTGATTACTGGTGAAAATATTGAACTTAAAGACCAAGAACTATCCGATGCCTTACAATATCTGGCCTCCGTGGGGTAAGTTTAATTATTTATTGAATACAGGGATCGAAAATTAATTAAACTTTACCATCCAAACGGAATATTCAGAATTTATTTCATAATTATAATTATTATAATCAAAGTGATAAATATTAATAAATTATTTTGTCCCTTTAAGGACTTCTCCGAATAATGCTCGATTTATCTTAAAATAATAAATAAAAAAAAGTTTATTAAAAACGTGGTTATTTTGTTTACATTCTTCCGCTTGTTACGTAATTATTTCATTAATCAACAGCATTGAGTTAAAAAGAGATTTGAAATCGATAACCATTATGATAACAGATTTTGTATTTTTATAGACTAGCAATTAAAATATAATGGCATCATCAACATACGATTTAGATAATACACTAAGTAATGTACGTCTACTACGAAAAAAATTAATATTGATTAAAACAATACCGGTACAAACATGCATGACGTTCGTAAAAAAAAAAATGCTTTCAATTATAATTAATATACTTACACAAAAATAAACAGTTAATATAATTTTTAAAATAATAGTTCGTAAGACTTAAATATTCATCGATGTAAAAGAAATTAACAAGATACAAAAATATCAGTTCAATATTTTTGCTATAATCTATTATATAACCTGTATCGCATACAATTATTTTATACTTAAAAAAAAAAATAAAGAATGGTTTTGAGATTTAGAAATTTTAATTGAAAGAATTTCTGCTTGATAAACATTAATTTTTAAAAAAAATATTTATTAATCTACAAAAAAATATGTACGATTATATTGACTGGAATTATATTTGAAATTAGTACTTACCTAATCAGTAAAATTTATAATTTTTCTACATTTTTTTATTAATTTTATTATTATTATTATTATTATATTATTATATAACAATTAAAACATAGACCGATTTAAGTACAATAACTTAGTATAGAATAATATTTAAGAAGGTATTATATAATTATACAGTTATTATTAATATTTAATGATGATTAATTACTTATAAACTATAACTGGTTTAGCTTTTACAATTAATCATATATTGTGCTACATTTAGAGACACTAATCCCCGTATGTTAATAGATACCGACCTTTGATAAACTTATTGGAAGGTATACAAGATTGGTTTCATGGACCGCAAAACTGGGAAGACACATCCATCATGGTAACATCTGGAGCTCAAGAAGGATTATCCAAGGCCGTAGACATGTGCATGAGTTGTAATGATTCAGTGATCATACCTGATCCAATATATACAGGGGCTATTGATTTAGTAAGTACGATGGTTTTATAGTTTCTTGCCTACGATAAATATTAATATATAATATAATTAATTGTATAATTGTTAATTAACAGTCAGTGGAGTTACTTTTATATTATTTGTATACAGGACTCTTTTTGGTAAATACGTATTAATGCACAATTATTTAGATAAGATATAATTTATAAGATTATTCAATATGTCTCTTCAATTAATCTATAAAATATTTTTTCAGTTTAAACCATACAATGCTGAAATCATATCGATAAAACAAGACTCATATGGGATAATTGTGGAAGAATTGGAAAAAGTCTTAGTGGAAAGGAAGATGAAAATGCTATCAATTCCAAAAGTATGTTATTATTATCATTATGTTATTTAATAATTTATAGTGATTGGAGTAAAGAGCTATTAATCTTACTATTATTTCGAATATATCCATTCCTTTCTTACCTTAACGTTTAATGGTAAATTATAAATTAATTCGAATAATTATTCAACAGATCATTTATTTGAATCCTACTGCATCAAATCCAGCAGGCACCACACTAACCACCAACCGAAAACGAGAAATTTATCGACTTGCGTGCGAATACGATATGCTTATTCTTGAAGATGATCCATACTATTACTTACATTTTGGACCGGTAAGTTTAAATATTTATTTGTTTTGAGAAAAAAAATTTGCCTAATAGCATTTAAATTATTTTAGGAAAATCCTGTCAGTCTATTGTCCATGGATACAGAAGGCCGTGTACTCCGATTTGATTCTTTTTCAAAAATCATGAGCTCTGGGTTACGTGTTGGTTTTATAACTGGACCCAAAACGTTACTACGTCAAATGGAGTTACACATGCAAACATCATCTATGCACACGTCATCGCTATCACAAGTGCTTTTATATAAGCTTTTATCAAAATGGGGCAGAGATGGTTTGGTTTCTCACTTTATGCATGTCAAAGAATTCTACAAACAAAAACGAGATCATATGATGGCGGCAGTAGTAAGAGAATTAGAAGGTAAGATGCAAACAACAGCAATAACAATAACAACTTACTTAAAAATTATCATTAGAAACTGCATAAAACTGCATAAAATATAATATTCTCTGAAATTAAAAATAAACTAGTTTTTTATGATAATTCTTACAGTCGTCCATTGCGTACAAATTGTAGGTGTTATTCTAGGATATATTAATTATACGAATATAGAAGAATATATGAAATTAGATGCAAAATTTTTCTTCTGATTTAATTAAATTTTTTTATTATACCTAGGTAAATCGAAATTAAATCAAACTTATTTGTTTTTCGTATATTTTTAATATTAGTTTTAAATACACATACGAAATGAAACCCTTATTACAAAGTATAGCAATGTGCTAGTTATAATAATTATAATAATAATAAACATTACATTATATTGCATTTCGTATTTATTTTAACAACATTATAAATATTATTTTATGTAAAAATTTAATCCAGTATTGAAAATTGTTTTTGAAATATTTTAATACTATATTGAGGATGAAATAAAATAAATAATTTTTTTATTATATTTTATAAATCCATACTCTCACGGTCGAATAACGTACAAATGAGAAATTTATTGAATAATATTTTATACCCAAAATATTTTTTTTTACAAAATTATAAATCTTAACATTTTCGCATGAAAATGAAAAATATAAGCCTTCATTTTTAAATAATTTTTTTCCAGGATTAGCTGAATGGAACGAACCCACTGGTGGAATGTTTCTTTGGTTAAAAATTATTGGAGTGGATGATACAAGGAAATTGGTTGCTACAAGATGCTTGGACAAATTAATAATCTTAGCACCAGGCTATGCATTTGTAGATAATGTTGAAAGCCCTAGCTCGTTTGTTCGACTTTCATATTCCATCGCTACACCAGAAGAAATAGATCGGGTATTTATTTTATAGCTTTTAATAGCGTCAGTGTATATTTATTCAGATGATTATACATAATCATTAAATATTAAATTGAATTAAATTTATTTTTAATTATATGATTAATTTCATTTATAAAGTTATGTATTATATGTATTACATGGTAAGATATTGTTTTATTTTCAGGGTATATCATTATTGGCGGAATGTATACGAGAAGAACAGCAATTGTCGTAGCCGAATTAAAAATCAAAACTTTTATTTATTATAATTATTTGTATGTTATTTTATAATTTTACTATTTTTATTTAATTTTTATATTTATTTTATACATTAAAATCGTTATGAGGCTACAATTTTAATTAAAGTAATTATTACTATATCTTGTCTATTGAAGACAGTGTTGAACTATTGACTATAAGTTTACATTATATTTACCTATGTATAGTATATACCTACTTGATAGTATAATTTTTTATTCCATTTTTTAGAAAAAATATTTATTTGTGGTTATGACTTTGCCAAAACAATTATTATAGTTTATACTCTTTTATAAAATTATTAAAAGAATATTATTATTCAATAATTTTATTAAGGATTACATTGTATATATTTTATACACGTTTCATCAATAAAATATTTTATTTCACAATCCAATTATTGTTTTAAATGTAAATTGGTTTTGATTGAAAAATGCAATCGAATTTTTCGTAAGGTCGTATCTTTTGGGAGGGGGATCTTTGGGGTCCGGACCTACCCAAAATGTCTTCAATATATTATAAATAATTTATATTTGGATCACAAAATGTGTTTATTGGTTACCGAAACATTCAGTACCGATCAACCACAATCAGTTATTATACACATAGGCGCCGACTTTTATATTTTAGCACGGGGGCAAATAAAATATTTATACTATTGTTCATGAATATTATTCCAATTCTCTTTATTGGGTTCAGATAAATGAAAATAAAAATAAAAATTACATGAAATTATGAAAATACAATTTATTTTCTAACTTAATTACAATACATTACATTTTATGATGACAATTTTACAATCTAAAATTATATTTTTTTCAATTTAAAAGTATTTCTTCTTGTCATGCACTTATTTATGAACATATTTCCTATTTTGCTTAGGTCTAAAGATTCTGCTACTGTGTTATGGCAATTTAGAAGTGCCAGATCATTTAACCTGGTCTGCGTCATGGTACTTCTGGTATAAGTTTTTAACCTCCTCAACATAGAAAAATATCGTTCGGTAGTACATGTAGTAACTGGTACTGTTAATATCAATTGTATGCATTTCCTGAGCTCTTTTAAATGAATGACTAAATACGATTTATTTTTAAAAATATTTAATATATCTGCGAATGATGAAACAATTAATCCTTGGCCTTTAATTATATCATGAAACATATCTCTATGAAGTTTTAGCTTATCAATATTTATATCATCCTTGTAAAATGTACATATTATTTCGGGTGATATTTTTGGATCAATTAAAAACATTTCCACATTACATAAAAATGATCGAATTTCAGAGTTAAATCTTAGTTGTAAGCCAGAAAGTATATGATCAATGATTTCTTTATATATTTGATTATATTTACTTTCAGGTGAAAATTCAAAGGACTTTGTTACTCCGTCTTCATATTTTTGAGGTTTTTTTCGTTTTCTAGATTCCTTTGGTGCATCTAATTTTAAATCTGACGATTCTTTCTTTGCAGATTTCCATAAAATGTGAAATGTATCTCTCAAATTTGAAATAGTATCTTCTAAAGTATTGAATTTGAACAGAAAGTTTAAAATCTAATGATTTACTTTGCAATACTGTATTTGTAGTCTCCATGTGTTTAAAAATACTTATCACTATTTTAAGCATTATATAAGTATCTGCAGTTTTGAATTGTTTGAAAAATCCATTTGCCTTTGAACCTGCATCATTGTGTTTTTGAAAAATCTGACAAAAATGTCAATAGCTCATTGTAGTTATCCATAACAGAGCACAGAGAAGTATATCGTAACGTCCATCTAGTAGGACAAAATGGTCTTAGAGATGTCATATTTTCGTCTTTTTGATTCGTTTTAAACCAAGATAGTCTCTTAGGTGATTGTTTAATAAATGTAATTAATTCTCTTATAAAATTTAGTACATCTCTAGCATTTTTTACATTTCGCATACTATCTTGGGTAACAAGATTTAAAGAATGAGCTTGACAGTGAACAAACTATGCTCTTGGTTCAATTTCTTTTATTCTAGCTTGTAATCCTTTATGAATTCCAGAAACATTGCTAGCACCATCAAAACATTGTCCTCTAATATTATAAAAATCTAATTCCAATCTACACAAAATATCTTTCACAATTTTGAAAAGAGTATCAGAATCTGTTTTAGGCGTTTCGTAAAAACCCATAAAATATTCTTCGATTTCCAACGATTCTTTGTCCACTGTTCTTAAACAAAACGAAATTTGTTCTTTGACAGTAATATCACTAGTTTCGTCTAATAAAATGGCATAATATGTGTTTTCTTTAATTTGTTTGATAATATTTCTAATGACTTCTAATGACAGCATGCTAAGAATTTCATTAATTATATCGTGAGAAATCCACTTATATTTTGTTCTACCTAACCAGTTATTTAATTCAGTCGAATCTTCCGATCGAAGTTTTAATAACTGATTTAAATTTGCAGATTCGTCTGTATGCCCTCTTAATGCTAAGCCTTGTTTTGCCAAAAAAAATACTGAAGATATTATTTTATCAAGAGCTAATCTAGATTCTTCCATAGGCTTTTTATGACTATCCGATATTTGTGCATATATATTTGCATTTGTTTTAATAAAAGAGTTTTTAACTACATTAGTTTTGTGCAATTCTGAATTTTCGTGCATATTAAACCTTTCAACAGCTTTTTTCAGTTACTAAAACCCTCGGAAATAAATACAGAAACATTATTATTACTATTATTACTCATGGATCTACACAATTTGCAAAAAGCTTTATCATCGATTTTATTATGTTCTAACCAGTCGTATTTATTTAACCAAGATGCTAAAAATTTTCTTTGTTTTGAAACATCTTTAGAGGACGAATTATTTCCACAATCAATTTGATTATCACAATTTAAATTTATGTTAGAAGTGGAAGTAGATAAAGATAAACTATTATCAGAATTAATAAGGCTATTAGAATCAGAATTGTTTTTCGGAATAGTTTTTTTTTGTACATACTTCCACATAGACATAATGAATTATTTTGTGTCTGAATTACTTATTTGGTATGCCCTTCAAAAGTTAATTAATTTTTAACTCATATATTAAATAATATGGTCTATAAAGAAAATATAAATTACCTTAGTGTTGTCAATCTGCGAATAAAGCACGTATGCTTCGTATGGACAGCGACAGTAAAATGATCAACTACTGAACTACATAATGTAATACTCAGTATTCAGTTGTCAGTACTGTATAAATGTAGAATAGTCAATATAATTTAGAAGAAATGAAAATACCATAGTACAGGTTATAAATAATTCCAACTAAAGATATTGTTATTAAGTTTCAGTTTGTGCGTGTGTATAAAGTATATATATAGTTATCACACAAGTCTTTCGTCATTACCGTGACTATTAGGCATTTCTAATTGGAGCTATATATATTATTCATATATATATATATATATATATAAATGTACTTATACGTTATCTATAATTTATGGTATCTTATGAGTTATGTTCAGCTATTTTTAGATAATTTTGTCCTTTTGATAAACATTTTCATATCGATATCGAAATTCAATAGCTTATAATAATAAGTAATAACCAAATAATTTTTTTCACAAAAGCGAAGTGCTATTTCTACGCTTTACCACCCATTAAAATCGAAGAACGGGGGCAACGCCCACGTTAAAATTAAAGTACAGGGGCAATTGCCCCCGTTGCCCCCGTGTAGTCGGCGCCTATGATTATACATATAAAAAAATTAATAAATTTTCTTTTTGTTACATTTTTAAAACATATTAAACATCTTAGCTAATCTTACCCCCCAGAAAAAAACCAAGATACAGCCTTGATTTGCCCTAACCATGTTAACATGAATCATTACCATAGGCGTGTGCACGAGTGCAGCGAATATTGCTTTCGCTGCACCTGAATTTCATTTTGGATTTTGGTGGTATTGATTCGAAAGACATACATATAGATACAGAGTCATTATAGATAAAAACGTCACACACAACCGCTACTAACTACTATCCAGATCAACGATACGGTATATTGTAAGAATATTTATTTATTTTTTAATTTATGAAATTTCAATAATTTTTTGTTTAACATTATTATAAAAGTATATGGTATTATATTACATTATTTATAAATATGATTATTTTTTATTTACAATATTTTTTATAATCATAACGAGAAAAGTAAGTGGTCTGCTTATTTTTCTGCTGGGCTGGTTTAAAATATATGATACTACAATACTATTAGTATATACAAGGCCGGCGTAAGGCTAAATGACACCCGAGACAAAAATGCCAACTGGCGCCTTTTTCATACAATAACCCGTAATATCAGTATACTTAGAAAAAAAAAATTTTTCGTGAACAGAAATATCGAAAAATTATACATTATGCTCAACTTGTACATAATTTGCTATCGTCAAATATTTTGGTCACGAGTCACGACAGCTCGACGCGATCCCGATGAAACGATAACAAATACAGTAGAATCCGCTTAATAAGGACACATTGGGTGGTGAACTAATTGTCCCCATTATCCAACTGTCCCGATTATTCGAATAACTAATAAATCGAAACTATTAAAGTTCATATATGTACATACATAATAACTAATAATACATAATAACATAATAATACATAATGACATATTTTAATTATTATTATTATTAGCAGTAGTACATTATATTTACTATTTAGTATTATTATATCGTAAATTAATTAGATGATTATTTTATTATACATATTTATTATACATTAATTGATTAACATACTTAATTTATATTTTGTTAGGCTGCAGAAAATCGTCCATTTTTCTTTGCTGTAATTTATTAAGACTTTGATTATTGATAAAATCTGCACAAACATCTAGCAAAGTTGTTGAGACATTTCCGTTTTCATTTTGCATAAAATATAGTCTCAGCTGATCAATGCACTTTTCTGCTTCTTTTATTGTAATTTTGACGGGCTGAACATTGTCATCGTCATCGCTTTCTTCATTTTGCAGGCTTTTTTCAGCAATTTCATCAAGAATATTATCGTAATTTTCATTGTCGTTGAATCACTGCA